ACACATGCACACACACATTTTTTCTATACATTTTAAATATGCAAATATGCAATTTTTTCTGAAATAATTTTACGGATATTGAAACCGCAGAACACCCTAAGATAAGGGCTTTCATCACTCATGGTGGGCTCATGGGCACGCAGGAAGCGATAGCATGCGGTGTTCCCATGATCGGCATACCGCTTTTCGCCGATCAATTTGCGAATGTCGACGCTTACGTCGCCCGAAACATCGCTATACGCCTGGACGTGAAAACAATTAACGAAAAAGACATGGACGCAGCTTTAAACGCGATTTTATGGAACCCTCTGTACCGGTAACAGACCTTATCACCCATTTCACAAAATTATTAGCACAAATTATCACTATAATAAGACAAAAAAATATATTTATATAACATAAAAATAATATATTTACATATTTACTAGCGATAACGCGCATAGTTTACTATTCATATCTACCTATTTCTGCATCACATATATGTTTAAACATTATCCTCCGATTTGCATGACTTTTATCGTTGTTTTTAACAACAACCAAATGTATTTTTATGATTCATTTCATTTATTTTAATAGGGAAACCGCGCGGAATTTGTCCCAGCAATTTTTCGATCGGCCACTGAACGCCCTTGACACCGCTAATTACTGGATCGAGTATATCATTAAGTACGGCGAGGATTCCTTGCGATCACCCGCGATGGATCTGACCTGGTGGCAACTATCTCTCGTTGATGTGATTGCGTTTCTCATATTTTGCACGGTGCTCGTTATCGCCATTTTAGTGTTCATTGTGCGTTTCATATTGGAGATGATAAATGGAAGTCATCATGGTTCATTACATTCGAAAAAGACAAATTAATTTAATATTAGCATATTGAATGCCAGATCTGATTCATTTATTTCTCTCGCTATGTATATTTAATTAAACTTACACAATTAAAGATAAAAATGTTTATACTCCGATGGAAATATTTCCTTCTGACATTCTCTCTTAATTAACCCCGGTTCATTATCACTATAACATTTTTTTATTATTTTTTAACAATATATATTAACTTTCTTTATATTTTACAGTATTACATTAAATTTCATAAGAAAATTATGATTTATTTTGAAATATATTCAGTAACTTTTTAATAACTTTTAATTTATTTTTCAATTTCATAGTGTATTATCATGCTTATAAAATTTAATATAATACTATAAAATATAAGAAAAGTTGAAGAATATAATTGAAATTTTTTAAAATATTATGTATACTATAAAATTGTTTTAATTTATTAAAAACTGAATATATTGATATAATAATAACAAAATGGAGCTAATTGAAGGAGAATTTCAAATAGTAAATAATCAAGCAAATAATCAAGCAAATAATTTCCATCAGAATATATTCATATGTGTACTCTTTATTTTTGAATACTAATATTAATTATAGTTACATAGTTAGAAACGTTGTTATTCACGAATTTCATCATATATTTTTATTTTCATATTGAATCTATAATAAATCCAATCACCAGTGATCGGTGCGGCACGTGACGTGTTAATCAGAGATAAACATACACTTACATTTTGCTTTACTATTTTACATCATCACGTTGAAATCTATTTAAAAAAGTTTTGTTAGATATATTTAAAGAATTTTTATTTCTTAATAAAAACATCGTTAAGGAATAAAGGGGGTTTATAATTTTATCAAAGTGAATCCCTTCAGTATTCTCTAACAAATATTTATTAAACGTAATATATCATTTTTTCGATAAATTCCCCGGTAGCTTAATCTTACTCGCAGAAGCATACATCGTTTATACGACATTGCCGTTATGTACAGACACATTTATATTATTTTTGTATTACATCAGGCAAATAAATATATTTGCGTCTACAAAAGTCTAGGAGTATATCCTTTTGTATATCTTTTTTATTGTCACATATAGTTGCTCTGAGTACCCTTACTTTGGTGCTGAATTAATCCCGAGTTCGTTTAAATTCTAATAGATTTTGATCGTTGTATCGTTGTTTTGCTATATTATACAAAATGTAATAATACTCGGAAAGCGGAGCGTTGTAAAGTAGTTTATGTTTAGTATCGGCAACGATTATCTCTAACGCGCAATCGTCTCCCGACGATTGCTGACTTGCGACTTAGCATGAAATCGATTAAACGCCACTAATTATTCTCTGCAGCATTACGCTAAATCGAGTATTATGCGAGCGCGTCTGTCGCGCTTCCTCGCCCTACCATTCATGAGTATTAAAAAGAAAATATGCTACACAACAGTATACCGTTGTAATTGTATACCGTTTACCTTTACACTGGTGGCAAATACTCGTTACCCGCTGGTACGTTACTTTTTCGATAATCGTAACCGTCATCTATCTTAGTTTCGGGATACATGGTTTGTTTCACCCAGGTGATGTCAATGGGAGTGAATGTCGCCACCTAAAACAAGCACCAAATAATAATTCATAAAATGCCATGTAAAATTAATGTTGATTAATTTCAGCAAAGATCAACAACAAACAAGATCAACTGAAATGCATCACAAAATATATTAAATATTATATAAGAATGGATGATTTAATTTATAAAATAATAAGAAAAAGGTAAATATAAATTAATAATAATAAAATTATAATTAGAAAAGTCTAGTTACGACGAAAATCTTTTTTTATATATAAATTATCAAAAAATTATCGGCCGCACGGAAAATTGTCGGTGTTTCGCACACGCACTTGATTCGTGGGAAGACATCCGGTGTCTTGGCTGTAAATGCCAGCAATATGATAAGCCCCATTGCCGTCGTAACAAGCCAACGGAGCACCGATATCAGCTTGACACATGTTATTTGTCGTGCGCCTTGCCGCAGATTATATTATGCGCGATGTTGATAGGAGTCTCGGCACCCAAGACGCGATTGTTGACAGACGTCATGCGGCAAAAGGTCTACGTCGACCATGTGCATGATAGCACCAGCGTAATGAGCTAAAATCAACAAATTTGTATTTTAAATTCATTCGATCTTATCTGTGCTATGTATAAACAGAGTTGTGTTAGATTTTTAATTAAAGTGATATAGAATTTAGTAAAATACATAATAGATCCAAATCCTGGGATAAATTATTTGAATATATTGAGACTTTAAAACTATTAATAAGAATACTCATTCGGATAATTCAGAACCTATTAAGCTTCAATAGATTACGCTTTTTTCAATAGAAATTTCAATACGCTACCTTGCAATATCGATTTGCCCCATCCGGTCACAATGCATTGCGAAGTTTCTTGCACCTGATAGTCGTCGGGAAGACACAGAGTGTTGATATGTAAATTAAACGTCGCGGGATGTTCCAGGACCAGCATAGCGCTATCGTTGCCGGGTAATCCTTGCGCATATCCAGGATGAAATTTAATCGTTCGTACATTGATGATTTCGAATGGTAGCGGTTCCTCGTGTTGAAGTTCATAGCCCAACTTCCATTCCCCGAGTTTCACAGACAATTCGCTTGATGGGAATCTAAAGAAATTCAAACGTCTTTTAGTTACCGATCGAAATTAGCATGAATTAACGGCCAAAAGAAATTCTTTTTTGAAGAATATAAAATATTTCTTCATTTCTGCAATAGCATTCTATTTGTAATTTTATATGTAATTCACAAATCTATAATTTATAAAAGATATCTGAAAAAAAAAACAGACGGCGCTGAATTAGTGCCTTCTGTAAAGAGATTAAAAATTGTAAATAAAATTACTTAAAATTACTTTACAAATTACTTTCAAATTATTAGATCGTCTAAGAAATATACATGCATATATGTATTTATTATTTTTTTCTTTCAGAATTGTAATGAAACATTATATTAATACTAAATTGTTTGAAATGAAATGAAATTTTACCTGTCTATGCAACTAGCAGCTGTCAGAACAATGTCTGGCGATATCAGCGCCCCAGAACACAAAATTTTACGTTCTTCCGACCACAAGACCATCGCTTGCCATGGAATTTCTCCAAAAGCCGCATCGGTATCTCTGAAGCCGGTCGGACGTTGTCCCTTTATAAATTACAGGAAATACAAATAATAATCTTCAATTGCACGTATCATTATAAATAAGATGTTCCTTGCAACACTGATATTTTCGTAACATTAATATTCTTATACAGCTTACATAATTCATTACTCTTATTATTACCTTAAGTTACTCAAAAAGTTAGTTTATCAATTTCTAATTGTAAAATAACTTTCACAATCAACCAAGCGATTCATGATTCTATCTATACTTACATAATTTCTCACTCCGCATGGATTGTGGGGCAATTGCAATTCAGGGGCGATGGGGACAGAATCCCGTTCGCTCGTAGAATCATATGGATTCTTGATGAATGGTGCGGGGGTGCTGATTGGGGGTACTATCGGGACCGGGGGGGTTGAGATCGGTAGCACGCTTTGCGGGATTATGTCGGAATCGTCCGGTACCAGAGGCACGACGTTCGTGGGTTGCAGGTTTTCGTGGACCGGCGGTGGTGCAACGGGCGTCTTGATCGGCGGCTTGGGGACGGTTTTGATGGGCGGTTGCGTAATGGCCGGCTTCCTCGTCGATGGTCGCACTTTCGCGATATTCAGGAACGTCGGGAAACCCTGCTCGTCGAACCCGCCGGAATAGTTGGCCGGTAGATTGCCCGTCGGCCACGGATCCACGTAGTTCGGGTCGCGACAACACTTGCCGATTACTCCGGTCTCCGCAATTCTGCAGCTCTGCAGAACAAATCAGCTCTAGCTGATCTAACTGTTTTTCCTTTCTCAATAGCGAAATTTGATCCTTATTTAATTCATGATTCATCATTAATAGTTCACATTATTGCATTATTATAAAATACATACAATTGTAATTTCGAAGAAGCGCTTTTAATCACGCGCTTTCGCTCTGTAAATGAAGGATTTTCTGTGTTTCTTGAACACTTACGCTCAAGGGAACGCGTCGTAAAAGCTGTTTGCTCGTAAGCGTGACTGGTTGCTGGCTAATCACTCCTTCTAATGTACAGTACTGCTCTTCTACGCAGAGGAGGGCGGCCGCGCATCCCATTTGAACCGAAAATTGAAAGACAGGATTGGAATTTGTAGGAGCTGTTTTTCTTGGAGGGAAGACCGGCTCGCTGTCACTGGTACCACCTATCCGTAATGCCAATCCGTATTAATACAACAAAACCGTATTTCCCAATTTATTTATTCAACATTTTTCACAATTCCAATAAAATCTTATTATTAATATGAAAAAAAATAATCATATCATTAAAACTCGTCTTGTCAACGCGTACCTGTTTGATACTGCTCCTGTTGATTCGTGTCGGATGGTATCTGATTATAATCGATTGGCACTTCCTCGACTGGCCTAACATTGTGAGGTTGATTAACAGGCTTGATCACGTAATTGCCCGACGGGGATTGCAATTCGGTGTTGGGACCCAACGGAGGCAATACGGTCACATCTGCCTGGTTATTTTCTCCGTACGGAACGTATTTCTCATCGTTTTGCAGAGTAGGTTCCGGATACTGATTATCTTTCAGCACCGTATTAATCCGATCGTTATACGGTAAATTGTCTAAATCGTATCGCACAGTACAGCATACTTCATGACTGAGCTTGCACTCCTGTACCTATGCGCAAACAAACAAAAATTATTAAGAATGTATCATATATTTATCATCATATATGTATCATATATATTTTTAGAATTTCTTTATTTACTTTAATGAAAAACTTACAGATTATTTATGTCACATCTAAAAATAATACAAAAAAGTTTAGCGTTAATCTAGAGTGTGGATCAAAAATTATTTAAATAAATAAAAGTGTGCTCTAATTAAACTGAGATTTTGATCATCATTTCTTAATTACTTTCGAATTAATATTAAATATATATTTAAATTATTAATATTAATATTTAAATAATTTTTGATTCAAATTCCAAATCGCTGTAAAATTTACTTTTAAATGCGATCTAGACTAATAATCGATAATCTTTTTATAATTTTTAATTGTAAATAAAAATACGATATAATATATCCTTAAGTCTGGATTGCGAATTAAGCGTGCAATCAGCATCGAAATAATTATAACATACGATTGAGAGAGAAAATCAAAAGTGACAAGGGATAACGAAAAGAGACTGTCACACCTGTCCTGGCCGGATAAATCCTTGTTTCAAGGGATGCACATATCCGTCGATGCACAGACTTTTAGCCACGCAGACTTTATTTTCACCGCTGCAGCTGATGGTGAAATCTTCCACGGCACTGGGATAAGATTGCAGCGTTTGATCAGGTTGATACACATAGTCGGGATTTTGTTGCTTCTGCGATTGCAACGGAGCTTGCGCTTCGTATGCTTCGAATGTATCTACAACAATCATGACGATTTAAGAATAAGTTGTCTTTCTTATTAAATAAACATAGCGGAGCGAAATCTTACTCTGCTGCGTTCGTTGATCCCAGTTAAATTGTACTCGACCAATTTGCTCCGGGATGATGTTATCTTTGTAAGTAGGATAAACGTTGTTTTGAGCCTGGGAAACACCGTCACCGTACCAGACAAGTTTGTCTCCTGAAATATGATTCAATCGTTAAAAACAATCGTTCTTATTTTTGAAGAAATTAATTCATATCTGTTTGTAATGATTTTTAAATATTTTAGCAAATAAAGACTTAGCAGATACAAAATAAAACTATTTCTCAAACTTATATATTTGTTACAAAAAAATTTGTGATTAAAGGTCGTGAAGGAATATAAAATCTATTTTTTTCACCAGGTTAAAGGGAGATGAAATAGATGTAAAAATTCTTTATTTGTATGCTCACGTGTCGGCAATTGAGATTGCAATTCTCCGTAGGGGAGTCCACGTGCGTGCGTAGCTAACGCTACTATAACTAGTAGCATTTCTAGCGGTGGCCTCATCGTGGAAATCTGAAAGTGCAAATCAAGATTAAACAATTATCTCCAATTTTTTATAATATGATCCAGAGATTTCTAGAGGAGAACACGACAAACGAACGAATAAAGAGAAGAGAGACTCCACTAACACTCAATTTCTGACGTCTGGCGTGGCGTCTATGAAGAGGAAAAGAAGCGAAGAGAAGAAAAAGAAAGATCTTTATCTCTCGTGTCGATTATTCTCGCGACAGGTTCTTCTCAAATATCGCGATACAAACGCGGTGTAAAAGTTGTGCAAACTTTTGCAATAAGCGCGCTTGCGTCTTTTTTTTTCCTCTCTCGACGCGCCGGCGGCGCCAGTGAATTATTTTAAGACCGAGAAGAATGATCGCGCACGCAGGTATTATATTATAATTTTATTGCACTCCCGCCCGTTTTAGTTGAACTTAATGGAACGGAATGAATCGTTAGAACGGCATCAGGATGTTCTGAGCTTCTAATGGGAAATCGCGGCGGAGGATTGCGGTTATAGAAACTGCATGCTGCAGACGTGGGAACAAGGCTTGTCGTAGGAGTAATTCATTCATGGCGCATTCTTCTTTATTTCATCCTCGGCGACACGGTGAGATATAAATTTACAAACAGAACGATAAAGTGTTGTCTGATATTGCGCATCGTTTTACGTTTTTTTTTTCCCCCTTTATTTTTACGCGCGGTACATTCGATAATCAATACCAGCGAAAGAAGATCTCGGGCCGGAGCTCTTGCGCGAAAAGTAATTTAAGTCATCTAAATGTCACGGCTTTCTCTCCTTAATATTTTAGCTTTTTAATGAGAACTTCGTCTTTCCGTTGAAAGTTAACGACCAATCTGTAAGCTCTGCGTTTTGCGACAGAAATTTATAGTCCACATAATTCTAATGTAATCTAAATTTCGTCGATCCTATCTTGATATCTCGTAATATCATGGCGCGATATACCATATAAGTAAACATCTCGAGATTATACGCGATATGATACACTCGGTTAGCCATTTGTGCCAAAGTGACGAGATACAATTTTCAATACACCCCGTATGTTATTTCCAATATTGCGTAGGCGCGTGGGATGACAGATATCAATGGCGAGGCATATGAATAGGAATACTTTCATATTCGAATCGTCTGGTATTTTCTAACGATGAAATAATCGCGTTCAAGGACGCGATTTTTTTATTGTTTGCTTATTTATATGAAAATTATGCAGTAGCCCGAACCGCGTATGAGATATCAGTTCTTATTTACATGCTCACCAGTATAGATGCTAACACATCTTCCTATCAATGACGTCACGCTGAGATTAGGTCAGGTCAGGGTTATAAACGGTGAACAAAATGCTATTGGCGAGCGAGGTACAATCTAATCCAATTTTTTATCAAATTTTTCTTATCGATTCTATTTCATTAAACAACCAAGATCTCAAGTAGCACAGTGTAATATTATTAATTAGACAATACTAAAATAATAGTACGTTATCTTTAACTAGAAACTAATTGAAACTTGAGTTCTTAATGTCAGCAAAAATGAAAAATTTTAAAGTGCCTCAAAAAAGAAGTTCAAACTGGATTATATCTAACCGTAGGCGTATTCAAAAAAGTAGGATTTGAAGCATTCAAACTTCTCCTCCTCGAAAATTAAAAAAAAAAGTTAAATTTATGATCAAAAACCTAATATTTGTCTCATTCAAAATCAGGAATGCGGAGATATTCTGAAAATTCAAAAAAGCAATTTTTATTAACGCAAAAAATGGCTGTTTGTGTTAATAGAGTTTGATCGATTGTATCTGACATAGGAATATATATCTTACTGCGATTAAATTTCGTGAGTCACTCGCAAAAACTGTGATGGAATTTAGAATTCGCCTCGAAAGACAACGCGATGAACTCATTATGGATTTCCCCCAGTCCTGTATGTTTCCGATGATCTAAAGGTTTGCTTTACAACGCGAACGGTTTGTGGGAGAATGACTCGTGCGCAAATTATACGCCGTTCGCGTCTTAAGCATTAATACCGTAAAAAATTCAATACAACACGCTTGTCAAATGTGTTAAGTTTGTGCGATGACTCTTCATATTTTTAATTTTTTTTTTTCTTTCTTCGAGACTATCGACAGTTGCAAGTCGTAAGGGAATGCCTTTTCTTGAGAAACGAAACTGGAGAAGAATCATTTGGGTGAAATCAAATTCCTTTGGCCATCGATATCAGTAATTAATTAAAAAATGTCTGTATCGCTTTCTACTTCTTTTCACTTTCTACTAGACAAATGAGTTTTTCAACTCCCACTATAGGATAAGCCGTAATAAGCGTGATAAACGTGAAATAAAAAGGAATTTATTTTTAAACATAATATGTATCGGTAAATCAAGCGTCTCGGTATTAATTATGCTAATAATACGATTAAAAAACAATTCTATTATGTAGAAGGAATTCCCATTAAAGTTTCCTCTACCGCAATAGATATATAAATAAAGTTTCACAAGAATCTAAGGAAACTAACACACAGTACAGAAACATATCATATAAATTTTATATTTTTATTTTCTTGTTTATCTCGTAACCGCTCGAGACTTACTATCAAATCTTACTATTTGTGACATTTTTTCCGTTTTTGTTTTCGTTCGAGTAATCCGGGCCCTCGTAATTTCTTTCTTCCAAGCTTTCACGTCTCGCAGAAGGAATCTTTGCTTTCCACTTTCGAGCCTAAGGTACTGGCTGTTAAGGCGGCGATAAAAATAATAACACCAATCGCGAAGGATTAACGGCGCCTCGTCCTGATCGGGTGAAAGTACGAGGTACATATAGGCGAAACGCCGAAAATTCACGGCGCCTTCGATTTCCATGATAAGCGCCATGGTGGACCGAACGCAGGGCCGAACGCGGCTCCCGACCGTCAAATATTATTTTGCAAATGTATCCTTGGCCGCTTGGCACTTTCACATATACATTAGTGCTACTACTTTCTCTTTCATTGAATTTACGCAGATTACTCGAGTATCGCACAAATCAGAGTTGTCGAATTTCGCGCATAATCCGGCGACCATCCTAATGACTCGAGTATGGAACCGAATTGAAATTAAGATCCGGGTACGAGCTCTCTCATACATACACATATCTCCTCGTTTCGCACAAAAAACGATTTGAAAATTCTTCTTCCTTTTCTTCTCTTTCTCTCTCTCTCTCTCTCTCTCTCTTCTCTTCTTCCTTTCCTTCATCTCTCACTCTCTTTTCCTTCCTCCCTCCCTCTCTCCCTCCCGCCTTCTGTTGCGACATGAAAGCGCATAAATAATCCGTTGATTTTGACGCATTTCGTCGGGCGTTTTTTTTTGTAATGTGGGTGTAATATGCATACAGCGTAAATACTTAAATATTCACGTCCTCATTAATAACAGCAATCGACGGCCGAATAGCTGCCAAGTAGAAACTTACTTTCGATTTGTCAATCAATAAGTACTTTCACCGATACCCGACATCTTCGCTATACATAATTAATACGATCACGTAATTAACAGTTGGATATTGATTTGGTTATCGAGATGCAAACATATTTTTTTTTTTACAAATACTCATGATATTACCTTTGAAAAAAAGTAGATTGTTTCTAGACATCAAAGAACAGATACATTCAAATAATTAACGTAAAGAAAAATAAATTTAATAAAATAATTATCGCACAAAAATAAAAATTGTAGAATTTTTTATCCTTAATTTTTCAATGCCTATTTTTAATTGTTTTGTTGTATTTAATTAGTAATTAAATTTAAAATTGTAAACAAGTTCTTGTACATATTAATCTCTATATTGTCTGGTTTTTCCCATGGCATTTATAATACTTGGGAAAATAAGAGCCAGGAAGAGACTTTAACATGTTCACGCAAATGGCATAATCATTTATGTTGCTATTCGAGCCTCGCCAGGTAAGAGCCCTCTCGACGAAAAGGTAGCTTCGAAAAGACGACATTTAAGAGCTTTCTTATGTCAAGCCTAAGCGATCTATCGGATGAAATGTCAGTGACGATGCGCCTGATATTTCAACTGCCTAGCGCCTCATCAATCAAGTTTGGACAAAGGGATACCTCTTCTTTTCTTTTTTTTTTTTTATTAGCGACTAATAAATGGGTGTCTAATGAAGCTATAGCTCTGCCTCTCATTGCGTCAGAGCGAATCCTTCGAATTACGATTGTACAGTTTCCCCATCCGGTCGCTCGTCTATGGCACTATGTGGACGCGTGATATTTCTGGGTCGTCTGAATTCCAGGCCGTGCGTTCCACTTCCGCAGAGGAGAGGAAAAGAAACGAAAGAGGAAAGAGGAGAAATAAGGAGAAGCGATCCGAGTAGCACTCATCGATCTATATAACTTTCCAAAACACTTGTCCGATAGCGCGATAGCCGTTCGGCGATGGCGTTATCCTTCGATCTTCCGCGGATGGAATTCGGCAGCCGCCAACGATACACGCGATCGAAAAGTACGCGCGAGAGAAAAAACAAATAAGAAAGATACCGTTCTCTTACTTTTTTTCATTCCTCTTCTTCTTACGGATATAACTGCTCGATGTGGTTCTTTATGTTTCCATTCGGGCAATATTCGTAATGGCAATCGTAACCGTGCCGGCAGTCGCGTAATTCCGCTTATTTAAGAGACTGTAAAATCGACATTTTTTTCATCAAGATCAGCAAGAAAATCAAGGCGAAGGTACACTACCAGTTTTAATATTCGATTTTGCTCGATTACGGGTTTACGGAAGAAGAGAAGGCAGGGGAGAGAGGTTCTCACCTATATCCATTATTCTAATTGTATTCGTAATTGTACGCGTAATAAAATTATAATTTCGTAATTACCCCTTCTCCGCGATTAATCTTGGCTTGGATAAAAAAGTTTTCTTTTTACGACTATCGTTGCGTAATGTATTTTGAACGTTAAATGGCGACGAGAAATGCCTCGTTGAAATCTACGATTCGTACCACCTATGAGATCGAACGCGGGGATAACGTCCCTCC